GCTCGGTCGAAACATACCTAGAGCACGGTCGAGCACGTTCGAAACATACCTAGAGCACGGTCAAAACATACCTCGAGCATAGTCGGAACATGGCACGAGCACGGTCGAAACAAATCTAACGCAAGATTAAAACACAAATCGAGCATGGTCGAAACAAAAATAGAACAAGGTCGAAACACACCTCGAGCTCGGTCGAAACATGCCTAAAGCACGGTCGAGCACGTTCGAAACATACCTCGAGCACGGTCAAAACATACTTCGAGCATAGTCGGAATATGGCACGAGCACGGTCGAAACATATCTAACGCAAGATTAAAACACAAATCGAGCACGGTCGAAACAAAAATCGAGCAAGGTCGAAACATACCTCGAGCACGTTCGAAACATACCTCGAGCACGGTCAAAACATACCTCGAGCACAGTCAAAACAAACCTCGAGCACAGTCAGAATATACTACGAGCACGGTCAAAACATACATTGAGCTCGGAGGAAACATACCTTTTTCATGGTCGAGCACTGTCGAAACACGCCTGCAGCACTGTTGAAAAATACCTCGAGCACGGTCATAGAATAACTCGAGCACGGTCGAAACATTCCTAGACCACAGTCAAAAAATACCTGAAGCGCGGTCGAAACATATCTCGAGCACGGTCAAAACATACATTGAGCTCGGAGGAAACATACCTTTTTCATGGTCGAGCACTGTCGAAACACGCCTGCAGCACTGTTGAAAAATACCTCGAGCACGGTCGTAGAATAACTCGAGCACGGTCGAAACATTCCTAGACCACAGTCAAAAATACCTCAAGCGCGGTCGAAACATATCTCGAGCACGGTCAAAACATACATTGAGCTCGGAGGAAACATACCTTTTTCATGATCGAGCACTGTCGAAACACATCTGCAGCACTGTTGAAAAAAACCTCGAGCACGGTCGTAGAATAACTCGAGCACGGTCGAAACATTCCTAGACCACAGTCAAAAAATACCTCAAGCGCGGTCGAAACATATCTCGAGCCGGTCGAAACATACCTCGAACAAAGTCGAAACATAGCTCGAGTTCGTCGAAATATACCTCGAGCATGGTCGAAACATACCCTGAGCACGATTGAAACATAATTCGAGCACGGTCGAAACAAAACTCGAGCACAGTCGAAACATACCTCGAGCACGGTCAAAACATACCTCGAGCACAGTCAGAACATACTACGAGCACGGTCGAAACTTACCTGGAGCAGTATTGAAACACAATCAAGCGGGGTCAAAACAAACCTCGAGCACGTTCGAAAAATAGCTAGAGCACGGTCGATCACATTCGAAACATACCTCGAGCACGGTCAAAACATACATTGAGCTCGGAGGAAACATACCTTTTTCATGGTCGAGCGCTGTCGGAACACACCTGCAGCACGGTTGAAAAAGACCTCGAGCACGGTCGAAGCATTACTCGACCACGGTCAAAACAAGACTCGACCGAGGTGAAAAAAAAACCTCGAGCATAGAAAAACCATATCTTGAGCTGATCGAAACATGCCTCGAACACGGTTAAAACATACCTGGAGCAGGGTTTAAACATAGTTCGAGCACAGTCGAAACAAACCTCGAGCACGGTCGAGACATAAATCGACTACGATCAAAACATACCTCGAGCACGGTTGAGCACAGTCGAAACATACCTGGAGCAAAAGTAGAATATGACTCGAGCACGGTCGTAACAAACCTCGAGCACGGTCGAAACAAACCTCGAGCACGGTGGAAACATACCTAGAGCACGGTCGAAACAGTTCGAGCAGGGTCAAAAACTACCTCGAGCACGGCTAAACATACCTAAAGCAGTGTCAAAATATACATCGAGCACGTTCGAAACATACCTGGAGCAGGATTGAAACATAGTTCGAGCACGGCCGAAGTAAACCTCGAGCACGGTCAAAACAAACCTCGAGCAGGTCGAAACATACCTAGAGCGCGGTCGAATGTGTTCCAGCAGGGTCGAAACACACCCCGATCACGGTCGAAACATAGCTCGATCTCGTCGAAACATACCTCGAGCTCATTCGAGCACGGTCGAAACATAGCTGAGGCACGACTGAAACATAAATCGAGCACGGCCGAAACAAACCTCGAGCACGGTCGAAACAAACCTCTAGCACGGTCGAAACATGCCTCTAGCACGGTCGAAAAATACCTAGAGCACGGTCGAAACATAGCTGAGGCACGACTGAAACATAAATCGAGCACGGCCGAAACAAACCTCGAGCACGGTCGAAACAAACCTCTAGCACGGTCGAAACATGCCTCTAGCACGGTCAAAAACTACCTCGAGCTCGGCTAAACATACCTAAAGCAGTGTCAAAATATACATCGAGCACGTTCGAAACATACCTGGAGCAGGATTGAAACATAGTTCGAGCACGGCCGAAGTAAACCTCGAGCACGGTCAAAACAAACCTCGAGCAGGTCGAAACATACCTAGAGCGCGGTCGAATGTGTTCCAGCAGGGTCGAAACACACCCCGATCACGGTCGAAACATAGCTCGATCTCGTCGAAACATATCTCGAGCTCATTCGAGCACGGTCGAAACATAGCTGAGGCACGACTGAAACATAAATCGAGCACGGCCGAAACAAACCTCGAGCACGGTCGAAACAAACCTCTAGCACGGTCGAAACATGCCTCTAGCACGGTCGAAAAATACCTAGAGCACGGTCGAAACAGTTCGAGCAGGGTCGAAACAAATCTAACGCAAGATTAAAACACAAATTGAGCACGGTCGAAACAAAAATCGAGCAAGGTCGAAACATACCTCGAGCTCGGTCAAAACAAACCTCGAGCGCCGTCAAAACATACCTCGAGCACAGTCAAAATATACCTCGAGCACGGTCGAAACATAGCTCAAGCTCGTCAAACCAAACCTCGAGCTCATTCGAGCACGGTCGAATTATACCTCGAGCACGGTCAAAATATATCTCGAGCACGGTCGAAAACTACCTAGAGCGCGGTCAAAACAGTTCGAGCAGGGTCGAAACACACCCCGATCACGGTGGAAACTTAGCTCGATCTCGTCGAAACATAGCTCCAGTAGGGACAATACATACCTCGAGCAAGTTCCTAAGATACCACGAGCACTGTCGGACCAAAGCTCGATCTCGTCGAAACATACCTCGAACTCGTTCGAGCACGCTCGAAACATACCTAGAGCGCGACTGAAACATAAATCGAGCGCGGCCGAAACAAACCTCGAGCACGGTCGCAACACATCTCGAGGACAGTCAAAACATACATCGAGCATGGTCGAAACATACCTAGAGCGCGGTCGAATGTGTTCCAGCAGGGTCGAAACACACCCCGATCACGGTCGAAACATAGCTCGATCTCGTCGAAACATACCTCGAGCTCATTCGAGCACGGTCGAAACATAGCTGAGGCACGACTGAAACATAAATCGAGCACGGCCGAAACAAACCTCGAGCACGGTCGAAACAAACCTCTAGCACGGTCGAAACATGCCTCTAGCACGGTCGAAAAATACCTAGAGCACGGTCGAAACATAGCTGAGGCACGACTGAAACATAAATCGAGCACGGCCGAAACAAACCTCGAGCACGGTCGAAACAAACCTCTAGCACGGTCGAAACATGCCTCTAGCACGGTCAAAAACTACCTCGAGCTCGGCTAAACATACCTAAAGCAGTGTCAAAATATACATCGAGCACGTTCGAAACATACCTAGAGCGCGGTCGAATGTGTTCCAGCAGGGTCGAAACACACCCCGATCACGGTCGAAACATAGCTCGATCTCGTCGAAACATACCTCGAGCTCATTCGAGCACGGTCGAAACATAGCTGAGGCACGACTGAAACATAAATCGAGCACGGCCGAAACAAACCTCGAGCACGGTCGAAACAAACCTCTAGCACGGTCGAAACATGCCTCTAGCACGGTCGAAAAATACCTAGAGCACGGTCGAAACATAGCT